CCTTCTCATAAGGATGGTGGCCCCGGCAGTGGTGTGCAGTAAGCACAGGAGCCCCTCAATGCCCCCCCTCCCCCGCCCCAGTGCCTCTTCCTATACTTTCAGGGCCACCTCACCAGCCTCCACCTGACAAGTTCCTAACACCCCAAATGGGTGTACAGAATGTGCCATCTTGCAACGTTTATGTTTTAAAAGATAGTTCTGAGAGAGGAACCAAAGGAGTGGACTTCTACTATATAATTTAGACTCATGGTTGTCTTCACGGATGGGGTGGATATGGGACATGGGGAGGAACAGGAAGTTTCTCAGAGATCAGAAATCCAACCCCCTAGGGTCCTTCTTCAGGCCTCCACCTCTGGCTGGCGGGAGTGCGCCTTGGGTTGAATGGGTTGAGCACCCCCACCCGGCTGCCCCCAGGCTCACCCCATCTGCCTGGTCTTCCTTAGTGTTACACAGCGCAGGCCACGTGGTGAACGTGTACCTGTTCTCCATCAGCCCACTCAGCATCCTCTCCTGCCTCTTCCCTGGCCTCTTCCATGATGACGGGTGAGTAGTGAGCGAAGGGAAAGGGTGTATTATTTGTGAGTGGAAAGAATCTAATTATCTCTGCTCAGAGGAGAGTGTCACCTTCCAGGTTACAGGACAGATAATGATCAGCCTGAGCCTCCTGCCCCGAGTCAGCAGAAAGGGGGGCTGTGGCTGGGCTGGGGTGCCTCATCTGGAGGGTCCTTTCTGGACGTCCCAGACATCTCCTCTCAGGATCCTCCCTTGCGTCCCTTCCCCACAGGTCCGAGTTCCCCCAGAAGTATTACTGGTGGTTCTTCCAGACGGTGCCAGGTGAGAGCCCTTCCTGCTCCATGAATTTCTGGGCCTGGCTCCGAGTTCCAGGTTCTGGGCTCTCTCTACCAACAGAGCAGCCCAGTTGCACTCACTGGGCTCTCACGGTCAGTCAGGCCCTGCCCTCTGGCCCCGAGGACGCTCCTGGGCAGTAGGAGACTGCTTTCTAGTGCTTCTCTCGGGAGCTTGACTGGGCTCCACCCCAGCTCTGAACTAGTTCCTCCCTCTGTGGGACGGGAGGGGCCCCTCCTGTCCCCTAGTGCACACACCTGCCAGGACTGGTTCTGAGAAACACTGTGCCCCAGCTGCAGGGGGGAGGGACCAGGCTCTTGTCAAGTCAGGAAACCCCCCACCCCCACCCCTTTTAGTCTGTCTTGACAAGGGCTGTTTAGAGGCATATTCCTAACTCCCCATAATCACCCATTTTAGGGCTATTAGCTGTGCATCTATTCAAACACTTCTTCAACCTATTTATATTTTCAATCTGTTCCCTCCTTGGGGCAACACGTTTTCTACACTCACTCCTCTATGAAACAAAGCACCGTTTTTTTAATTTTTTATTTTTTTTAATCCTAAAGTGATCTGCTTTGAACTTCAGAGAGTGCCTGCTAATTCCTGCACACTGGGGTTTCCAGGATAAGCCCGTATTTATGCTCTGCTCTCCATTCTGTACTTGACAGGCTTTGGTTAGATCCCTTCTTAACCTCTGCTTTGCCGTTCTTCAGGGCTCTAATCTTCCTAATTTGTGCCTCTCTCCTCCTTGATCCTTGAGGGGCCCTTCTCTGACCCCTGCATTCCCATTCTGGCTCCAGTATTGCCCTCCTGGGTAGCCCAGGCCTGGGATTCCCTGTGAAGAGGGCCCTCCCACTAACTCGGGGCTGAACCCAGGGGGGTCTCTGGGGGTAGCACTTGCTCACCGGTGCTCACACTGTGTGCTGTGGCAGCGAGGTGGAGTGCTGCAGGGACTTGGTACAAGCCCTGACTGCATAAGGCAGGGCCTGCAATGTCCAGAGCCCCAGCCCCATGCATTCATTTATTCAACATACATTTATATAAGGCCCACGGTGTGCCAGGCCCTACACTAGGTTCAGTGGTGAACTAGCCTAGCCTGGCCCTGTTCTTGTGAAGCTGAGAGCCAGGAAAGTGATGAACATAAAACACAGGTACTTGAAAAATATCCTGACAGAATCTGAAAGGGACACAGCGAGGAAGGGATGGGCAGAGTAGACTTGGAAGGAGGTTTAAATACAGAAAAAGCACAGGATTTCAACAGAGATGCCACACTTTACTGTGACTAAGGTAGAGGCCACTGAGGAGGAGGCAGCAGCTTCAGTCCCCCAAGAGGGGGAGACCAGCTTAGCAGAAATAAAAGCCCGGATTCAGCATTCAGATGAACCAGGTTTTTTATTGACGTTTTCCATGACAGCCCAGAAAGTGTCCACTTGAATGAACTATTGTTTGAGCCAAGTCAGAACTCCATCACAGGGGAACACAGCCAGCTGTTAGAGAGGAAGGGAGAGGGATAGAGAGTTAGAAACATCAATGAGAGAGAAACATCGATCAGCTGCCTCCTGCACATCCCCCACTGGAGATATGCCCGCAACCAAGGTACATGCCCTTGACCAGAATCGAACCTGGGACCCTTCAGTCCACAGGCTGAGGCTCTATCCACTGAGCCAAACCGGTCAGGGCAGCATTTTATTTTGGACATCTCATACCAGTACATCTGCCTCATTTCTTTGTGGCAGAATACTATTCTATTGTATTCCTATGCTATAATTTTACTCAGCCAGTTCCCTATTCTTGAGCATTTAAGTTATTTCCAGCTGTTTTACTGTTACAAATTATGTTGCCATGAACATCTTGTACATGTATTCTTGCATTCCTCTTGATATATTTGTAGAATAAATTCCTAACAGATGAATTCCTTACTCAAAGGGTATGTACACTTTTAAAAAGATACATCAACTTAAACTCCCACCAATAAAGAGAACGGAGGCAAAAATATATATATATCCTGACAAAGTCTATGAAGGATGAGTAGGGTCTATAGAAGCGAGAGGTACCTGTGACCAGTGATGTGAAGGAAGAGGAACAGAGGAAGATGCTGGGCTTTCCCCACCCGCTCCTCGGACAGTGGGGTGGAAAAGGGTCCAGGCCCTTGGCAGGCCCAGAACAGCCTCACTCCTTTGCCCTTCAGAACACTTGTTCATTTTGCAGGCCTCA